ATATGATTCTTTCGAGAGCATGGGGAGAAAATACCTTACCTGAAGCTTCTGTAGGATTTGCCTCTTGCTTCTTGTCTTGTTCACTTAACATGTGGTTTCTGCTTCTTTGTTACAGAAAAGAAGAGGAAAGGCTCAACCAAGAGAAAAAGGTCTCTGTTTATTTAGAAGACACGGACTAATATTTTTAGATGGTAAGGTTCACAAATATGTTGATTTCTTTCCTCAGATTTCTGATGTGTACAGCCCATCTCTAATGAGGATCTTCCAGATCACTTTACAGTTAGGTGTTTCCCATATGAAGTTAGAGGAGCTGGGTCAGGGAGACAAAAGTCTTCTATTAGTCTTATGGGAGACTTCTCCTTTGAGTGTATTTTGTGCAAAGGATTAAGAAGCTGGACTCTACCACCATTAAAGTGGAGAGAATTCTAAGGTTTTTTTGTGGCTTTGGGATGATATTTATTACCACTAATAATAAAAAGTATTCAACATGTAAATAAATCTTTTTTAAATCAAAAGATTATTACCTGCTTATTCTTATTTCTCAATTATGGTATTAAGAGAGTGTGACTCAATAGATATATCTGGCATTTTTTTACAGGGGAACTTTTGTACTATTTGGAATTGATTTCAACTCCTCTCATTTAGTTATTGGCATTAATAACTATGTGAAATGAATCCAGTGTCAGTAGTATATAATTTTATTTTTCCAGTTTTCAGTTTCATCAGGCTTAAAAAGTAGGATAATTTATTTTTCTTTTCTTTGTTTTTGAGACAGGGTCTCAATCTGTTACCCAGGCTGGAGTATAGTGGTGTGATCTTGGCTCACTGCAACTTTTGCTTCCCAGGTTCAAGTGATCTTCCCACCTCAGTCTCCCAAGTAGCTGGGACCACAGGTGCATGCCACTACACCCAGCTAATTTTTGTACTTTTTGTAGAGACGGGGTTTTGCCATGTTGCCTAGGCTGGTCTCAAACTCCTGAGCTCAAGTGATCCACCTGCCTCAGCCTCCCAAAGTGCTGGGATGATAGGCATGAGCCACCACGCCTGGCCAATTTATTTTTCATATGCTCAGCATTTCTCCCATTTTCTGAAATAGGTCCACACATTTAATTTCTAGATGTTATAAATCCAGATATGCAAACTTAAATTTTACCCTCATAAGAAAGTTCTTGATATTTATGACTTTATCCTGTAAAACTCTGGCTCTCTTACATGGGAGTAAATTATAAAGAGGGTCACATTTTTATAGGTTAAAGCTCCAGTGAAAGACCTCAAAGATTTACAAAATGGAATATGGTGAAAAATGATTGTATTGTAAAACCAGAAAACCAAATTTAACATAAGGGAGTTTTTACCAGCCAATGGCTATTTTCTCTTTAAAATTAAAGGGATTCTCTAACTAGTTGGGGTCATGGAAAATAAATATGGGAGACGTTTTAGATCAAAAGAAACTTAAGAGACAAACACGATCAAAGTGCAATGTGTGATCCCCAACTGATGAATAATGGTGTGAACAAACTAGCTGTAAAAAAAGCCTTGGAGGGGCAATTGGGAAAGTCTTGAATATGAAATTGTTAAATATATGGATACCATTAGGGAATTATTGTTAGCTTTTATGAGGTCTAGTAATGGTATTGTAGTTATAAAGAAAATGTACCAATTTTGAAAAATGATTACTGAAGTATTTAGGGGTAAATGTCAGCAATTTGCTTTAAAAGCTTAGGGAAAAAAGCAAAACAAAAAAAGGCTTCAGAATTAGGTGATGGGGGAGAGGAGGTGAGAAAAGAAAGAATTAATAAATGTAGGGGATGAGTAAATTCCACATGCTCTCTTCTCTACTTTTCTGTATGTCTGATTTTGTTTGTAACGAGAGAGAGAAGTGGGGAGGATATGGAGTGTATGCATGTGAGCAAGTTGTGTATCATCCAAGTGTCCATGCAAGGTACTTAGAGGCCATGACTTAAGGATACTAACTCCGAAAATCATGTAATGAGGATTAGGAAACTTCTTTTAAAAATTAAATTGGGGGAGAATATGAATATTTTCCTTCAGAATGAAGATCTAATAACATATATGTAATTCATAATGCCAAGTATTCCTGTTGCACTCTTTTCAAATATATTATCCATTTAAACTTTTGTGTTTTAGGAAGCTGACGATTTCTAAGAACAAGAACCCCAGTATTTCTTGAAGCTAACAGAAACTCTTCTTTGGCTTTTCCAATTGTGGCCCGTTTTCCAACCAGTTCTGCAGCATATACTTAGACAAGCAACATACCTCTGGAGCCAGCACAGTGCTCTTCCATATCACCAGTCATATACAGCCTCATTATTAAGGTTTTAATTTCAGAGTGTAAATTTTTTCAAGTGCTCATTAGGTTTTATAAACTAAGAAGCTATATTTTTGCCCTTAAAACACTATAGTGTTATGATTTGTATACACATATGTTGGTATCAAAGGGGATAAAAGCCAGTTTGTCTGTCATAGTATTTCCTTTTACATTTCTTTTAGCAGCGCTCCTGCTACTAAAGTTAATGTGTTTACTCTCTTTCCTTCCCATATTCTCAATTAAAAGGTGAGTTAAGTCTCCTTGGCGTTTTTGATTAACAGTAAATCCTAAATTCAAACTGTTAAATGGCATTTTGATTTTTATGTCTCTCCTTAACTATGAGATGCATCTTGTTTTATTGAAATTTTTTCAGTATTCCAGGTGATAGATTTTGTTGCTATGTTAATTAATCCAAGATTTACAATAGCACAATGCTAAATCACACAGTAACTACAAAAGGTTACATAAATAGGAAAAGACTGGCAGATGACATTGCAGGATGAATCACTTGTCACTTTTCTTTTGTGCTGTGAAAAATAATCAACAATGTGGGTCTTACAAGAGCAGTGACTGATTGTTTAGCTTACTATGATTTCCCCCACAATTCAATGATCTATAACAGAGCAAAGTCTATGCTCATTTGCCGACTGGAATCATTAAGCAGTTTAATAAAAAGATTCTAAAATAGTATATTAAAACTTTGAAAATTCAGGGTTGGTGAAAAAATATCAACTCTAAATGATGATAATTTTGTACAGTTTATATAAAACTCTGAGAACTGGAAGAAATTATTAATTTTTTTCTTTTTCGTTTGGTTGTAATTCACTTGTTTATTTTGGGGGAGGAAGACTTTGGTATGGAGCAAAGAAATACCAAAACTACTTTAAATGGAATAAAACCAACTTTATTCTTTCTTTTACCCTATACTGGTAGATAAAGCAAACTTTACAAGTGGACTACTGAAAGAAAAGTACCTTTTGAAAGTGTTTAGTTTTCCAGTGTCTTTCCAAGCTTAAAATACAGAAGCATTTGTTCAAAGGATAGAAAACATCTAAAAGTTTAGGCTCAAGATCAATCTTTACAGACTGATATTTTCAGTTTTTAGGCTGCAGATGTTATTTCTTTTAACAAAATGGAATTTTCAAATAGATTATCTGTATTTAAAGGTATGGACCTTGATATTTTTTCAATACTATTTTAAAAAAATTGTATGATTTACATATGAACCTCAATTATGAAATTCATTACATAGCTCATTCTGCCTTTTATACTGTCTAAAAAAGCAAAGTTTTAATGCACAATTTTAAACGGTGCAGTTTAAATGCACAGTAAATTACATCTGAAGGCTGTATTTCCTTTAATCACATTTTATATTTTTTCTTCACAATTCTAACCTTTGAAAATATTACAACTGGATATTTCTTCAAACAGATGTCCTGGATGATGGTCCATAAGCATAATGAGGAAATAGTTAAAAATGTACAGTTTTTCCAGCAAAATTTGTAGCTGATGTCTTGGCTAAATAGTCAAGCAGTAATATGGGTCTATTGTTTAGTGTCTCCTTCCTAAAGAGCACTTTTGTATTGTAATTTATTTTTTTATTATGCATTAAACACTATGTAAATAAACTTTAGTAATAAAGAATGATCAATTATATAATTTGTTTATATACATATCTAAAAGTTCTACACTGCAGGGGAAACGGATATATATTTTATCTTTACTGAAAAGTTTTCTTAGTAGAGACAACTTGGAAGTCAACAATGGAGAAGTATACGGATTTCCACAGAATTTTCACATTGCTTTGGATAGCTGGGAATTGGGCACAATATTAGTTAGTTTGAGGGCTCTTTCAAAGAACAGTATCAAAGATTCCATTTAGTACTTTGCATTACACTTTTAATAGGGAAAACTACTGGGTTTCAAGTCTAGTAAAGGAATAGAAATTGAAAAACAGAAAGTTATTAATTTTTCTCCAAAGTGAAAGCATCCTTTTATTCTCCTACTGCTTTCACTGACATGTGGCAATTCCCAGGGAAGAGGCTTACTGATTATTAAAGCAACCTTCTTATTGTACCATCTCTTATTCAGAAGTATATGACACCATCTCACTTCAAGTACTTTGGTAACATAACTTTTTTTGCTTTTCCAACCAACGATACACAAATTCCAGTTTCCCTTTTTCTCTAACACAGGCTGTAATGATTTGATCATCATTGCCACCGCCAAAAGTAACTTTAATAAACACTCAATTCTGGATGCTGTACTAGCTATACTAAAAAGGGCAGGAACCAAAGATGCTCGTGGTATATATTACCACAAGCGCCTAATACATATTTATCTATGCTGTATGATCTCCCAGGTGTTTCTGAACTCTAAATTTACGGGAGTGTATTCTGAGAACCTTCAACTAAAATAATCTCGAGATGTAAAAACCACGTCTGCAATGCAGTCAGAACATCACCATTATTTAGTTCTGCATAAAACAAAACTGTAAAGATTCCAAGTTTGTAGCCTACTTAATTTTCAAGCAAAAGAGAGCAGTTAGCTTCCACCTGAAAGTTAGTGAATCGCTGGCCAGTGACATCAGGTGTGGTTCCGGAAAGAAGCCAGGTTCCTATGGTAACGTCGGATCGGCATTTAAGTTGTCTCACTGCCTCCTGCTCGACGTCACTTCCGGCGTTACCTGTGTCGTTACTGGGAGCTGTAAACAAGGTGTGCAAGCATCTGAAGAGCTGGCGGGATGCAGCAGAGCCGAGCGGCTGGAGGCCGTGGCTGCGCTCTTTTTCCTGTGCTGGGCGTCCTGTTCTTCCAGGGTGAGTGCTGTGGCTGGCTGCGCTCCACTTCCGGCTGCGGGATTAGGGAAGATGGTCGCTCTATCGATTCCGGGTGGGGAGGGTCTGCGGAAAGCTCCCTGAACGCTGTGGGAGGGAAGGAAGGAAGGACGGAGCAGGACGTGGGGAGGATGACGTCACCACCCCGCTGAGGGGAGTTGGTGTTTTATCAGTCCTTTCCTGAGCCTTGGGAGCTTGACCACCTTGTGTGACTTTTGTCATTGCAGTTTGGTGATGACAAAACTTGATGGAACCACTAAGAGCTCTGGCTTTGGAGGCACCCGGTGTTATTTTGTGATGAGACTATCAGTGATTGACTTCTGCGGTTTGGGGACTGTATACCCTGATTAGAAAAAAGGCAGGTTTAGCATTCAGTAGTTTGTCCCAGTAGTTTTGAGAAACAAAATCATGACAGTCGGTAATTTTATTTTTTTGGAGGTGATTATTGTGGTCTCTAAAATGAAACATTTGTTAAGTCACAGAAGGGATGTGATGTGATTCTTTATAGGGAAGCATATTGATGAAAAAGCAACTGCTTTAGCATTTTAATAACTTTTTAGTCTCACAAGATCTGATTTTTTCCCTTTTTTAAAATAACTTTTTAATACAAGAAAGAACATATAAATTCTGTTAAAAAGTTAATCTGTTAGCTAATATCAGAAGTAGGGTGTTCATGCTGACATTCACATCTTAAAATTTAGGTGAGTTTTGCTTTCATATAATTTTCAAATTGCGTAAATTTCAATCCTACCTAATTACCTTCATTTTAAGGTCCAATTATTTTCTGGATTTTGTGTATGTGTGTCTTCCTGGGAAATAAAATATTAGTATATCTAACATTAGAATGAAATTGCTAACTTTATAAAATTTCCTTGAGGGTAATGGAGATTTCTGAAAGAGATATTTAATTTATATAAATATAAAGACTTTAAAGACTTCAGGTGTCCTAAATCTTGACAGATAGGCCTGGAAAGTTTTTATTTTAACTGATGACTAATATTCATGTTGCCAGCACACCCCTGATCCCTCCTAGCTGCCTGTGTCATCATAAGTCTCCTGTTTTTTAGCTAAATTATTTTGCAATATGGTATTTAGGCTGGCTTACTGTCACTGCTAATAAATCCAGTTCTCTGTCTCTCTGTCTCTCTCTCTCTCTCTCTCTCTCTCTCTCTCACACACACACACACACACACACACGAGAAATATTCAAACATTGTCTTATTGAGAAAAAAATCTGAAAATGGACTTCATGTCATTTTGCTTTGAAGAGTATCTGTCAAGTTCAGCAGAGCATATAATTCAAACACTAGAAGTGGATTTTATGATCTCTATGTACTTGTGGAATATATTTTTTTGCCTTTTTTTCTTTTTTCTTTCTTATTTGTTTTTAATTTTTCCCCAAAATTTGATGTCAGATTTTTTGCCTTTTAAAAAATAACTGGTGGTTGGGCATAGTGGCTCCTGCCTGTAATCCCAGCACTTTGGAAGGCCTGAGGTCAGGAGTTTGAGACCAGTCTGACCAACAAGGTGAAACTTCGTCTCTTCTAAAAGGTTTTTGTAAAAATTAGTCAGGTGTGGTGGCAGGTGCCTGTAATCCCAGCTACTCGGGAGGCTGAGGTCAGAGAATCACTTGAACCTGGGAGGTGGAGGTCACAATGAGCTGAGATAGTGCCATTGTACTCTAGTCTGGGCAACAAGAGTGAAACTCGGCCTCAAAAAAAAAAAAAAAAAAGAAAAAAAGAAAAACTGGTTTATCATTATTATTCACATGCAATACAATTTACTCTTTATTTTTCTTTTTTCCCTTTTTTTTCAAGCCTGCAGATGATCAAACAATTTACTCTCTTGAGGGGTATAATTGAATGGTTTTTAGTATATTCACAGTTATGCAATCATTACTATAATCAATTTTAGAACATTTTCCTCATTTCAAAGAGAAACCTGATACCTATTAACACCTATTAACAATCACTTCTCATTCCCCACTTTCCTTAGCTCCTGGCAACCACCAGTCTATTTTTTGTATCTATGGGTTTGCCTATTCTGGACATTTCATATAAATAGAATAATGTCTGTAATCCCAGTACTTTGGGAGGCTGAGATAGGTGGATTATTTGAGGTCAGGAGTTTGAGACCAACTTGGTCAACATGGTGAAACCCCATCTCTACCAATCAATCAATAAATCAATCAATCACTGGGGGTGGTGGCATGCCCCTGTAATCCCAGATTCTTGGGAGGCTGAGGCAGAATAATTGCTTGAACCGAGGAGGCAGGAGTTGCAGTGACCTGGGATTGCACCACTGCACTCCAGCTTGAATGATAGAGTGAGACTCTGTCTCAAAAATAAAATAAAATAAATAAAAATAAATTTAAAAAGTGGAATCACACAATATACGCTTTTTGGTGATTGGCTTTTTTCACTTCTCATGTTTTAAAGGTTCATCCATTTGTTTGGTCTTTTAAATCTGTTAGGTGGTAGATTTTGGTTTCATATCAGTGTTTATTTCCCTTTCTTTTTTGAAGATAAGGCCACTTAAATTATTAGATTATTTTAATTTAAAGTCTAGTCCTACTCTATCACTTATCTAAGTATTTAGAAATGGTAGACTAGAAGGCCTAGGCTTCTTAAACTTTTCGCTTTTTTATGTAAGTATACAATAATATGAATAAAAAAATCAGCAGGTTTATATTTTAGAAAATGAGGCATACAAAATTGGGGGCTTTATTGACACATTTAATTCTTTCGTGTGTAAAATTACTTACGTTAAAATGTGATTTACTTGTTTCTCCCCCAGACTAAAAAATTTTTGTTATTACAAATATTTCTATAGTTGGGTTGTTTTTACCTGGCAAGAATGCTTTTCTGCTCAGGTGAAAAGATAAGGAAGTTAGGCCTAGGATGGACATTTCTGAATGAATTAATGTTGGATTGGTATTTTTTTGCAGGAGGAGGAGACAACCTATATTACATCCATTGATTTTAAGACACTTTTAATTGCAGGTATTATAAGTGTATACAGCTCAACGAGTTTTCAGAAGCTGAACACACATGGGTAACTAGCACCCAAATCAGGATATATAGAATGTTCCTGGAATTTCAAAAGCCTTCTTTTGTGCTTCCTTCCAGTCATTATCTCTTCTCCCCAAAAAGAGTCAACATCCTGATGTCTAACAGTATAGAATAGTCATCCACGCATGAACTAAACTATTACTCTCTTATTTTTCTGTAACTATATAATTAAGACCCACATATCCAGTATTTAGATTTCAACTAAGTGACTTTAAATGTTGATAACTTTGTGGCACAATCATGCTCATAAATATGGAGTTCAGATACATTAACAAGGAAAAAGTTAGTAGGTAGGTATGTTTATTGATGGTGTACTTACTATAATTTAGCAAACAAAATTTGGTTTATAACCAAAAATTACTATAATTTAGTAACCAGAATATATAATTTTAATGTTTATTTTGTAATTTTTTTTTATAAAAAGGAAACTGGGCTGGGCGTGGTGGTTCACACCTGTAATCCCAGCACTTTGGGAGGTCAAGGCAGGTGGATCATGAGGTCAGGAGCTGAGACCAGCTTGGTCAATATGGTGAAATCCTGTCTTTACTAAAAACACAGAAGAATTGTTTAAACCTGGGAGGTGGAGGTTGCAGTGAGCTGAGACTGTGCCACTGCACTCCAGCCTGGGCGACAGAGAGAGGCTCTGCCTCAAGAAAGCAAAAAAACAAAAAAAACACAACTGTTGGTTTGGTCTACTTGAATAAATATTGCTAAACAGCCACAATATGCTAGGGTCTATTTTGATGGGCTCAGGATCTATCGGCGATGACATAAGTCAACAGATGATTTTAGAGTCATGCTAAGAGATAAATTCATTAGAAACCATGAGCATGGAGAAGAGGTGCTTTTGATCTGGCAGAAAGATGAAGGATTTCCCGGAGGTGAAGTTAAATCTTGAAAGGGGAATAAGAGTTAGTTAGAGGTAGAGAGTGAAGAAAATTTTAGACGTAGAGAAGAGCATAAATAGCAACTGACTTTCCTGTCAGCTGAGGCTGACTCAGATTGACCTGAACCAATCATTACATCTAGTGGTGTCCTGGTAAACAGCAGAACATTTTTATAAAAAAAAAAAAAAAGTCCAGATACGTAGGGTTGGACAATTTCTGTCGTGCAAATACTCCTGCCGTGGTCAATTTCAAGCTACATAGGTTAAGTCCCTAATGCTGATATAGGAAGAAATGTATTAATACTTACTTGGCTCTTGAGAGCCAGAGGAGCTGGCTCAGCACACCATCTTCCCAATCACAAAGATAGGTTTTGGGTCAATATGTGATCTAAGCTAATCCAGTCAAAGCCAGTTTCAGAAAACCTGCTTGGAAAGTTATTTAATGCCTCCCTGCCTTGTTTTTTATTTTTTGTTTTTATATTTTTTTGAGATGGAGTCTTGCTATGTTGCCCAGGCTGGTCTTGAATTCCTGGGCTCAAGTGATCCTCCCACCAGGACACCGCTAGATGTAGTGATTGGTTTAGGCCAATCTGAGTCAGCCTTGGCTGGCAGGAAAGCCAGTTGCTGTTTACTCTTAGTTTTCTCCTTTCCTACCATACTCATTCTCTGCTGTACTCTACTCTTTGGAAAGCTGACTGTATAGAGTATATCATTGAGGTTCTCTTCCTCTGGTTTCCAGTTAGATTTGGCCAATGGGAGGCATTGGCAGGAGATTGGAGGGCAGGAGAGAGAAGATCAGGATATTTCTATTCTGCTCCCTCCCTCTCTTGGTGCCATGCTCTGTAGTACCTGTATCCCTCTAACAACAGCCCTTGTCAGGCAGCCCACAGCTCCCACTTTTACCAGGATCTAGTAACACCATTTCCTCCCTTTCCCATTTCGACCTGGGGACAGTAAAGGCTTTGTGCTGTTGCCAGTTCCCTTGACCTTGGGAAAAGTCCCTTTGAAAAGTAGTCCAGGCTGAG